TATATATATATATATATATATAATATATGGATAGATAGATAGATAGATAGATAGATAGATAGATAGATAGATAGATAGATAGAGTCTGAATGAGCTTATATACATATATACACTTGTGTTAGCTAATGGGCAGTTGGAACTCCAGTTTCCCAAACAATAATAACTGAGAACAAGCTGGACAAACTACTCTAAAAACAAATTATCCTGTGATTTAGGCTGAGGATTTAGCTGTAAAAAAGGTCAGATAGTCCTTGCACAGCTCCAGTAATTATCCTTTAGATATTTCTTATATGAAAGCTTGCAGAAAAAGGCAGTCTTCTCTCTAGAATCTCATTTGTTACTTTAGTGAGACTTAATTTGAGACATCCTTAAGAAAGAACTGGAGAAAACTGAAATAGATTACAGTAGCTTTACCTTCAATCCTTATATAAAACATTTGTACTGTGTATATGTGAAACCTCATATTCTCTCTCTAGCAATTCAAACACAATAGCTGGGTTCATCCATAGCTCTAATCCATAATGGGGAATCTTTTGGTTTTCATTTATTACCTCAATGAATGTGGTTTGTAAACCATGACTTAGGGGCTTAGTATGATATAGAAACCCTGTTAATTTGTACACAATGTTTTTCTTGCTTTACAAAAAAAAAAAAAAACTTATACGAAACAGTACTTGAGGTAGGAGTCATACTGCACCTTACTGTATTTCACAGAAGTAATATCTTACTGTGTACTGATAAACTAATTTTAAAAACTCTTCAATACTACAGACATGTTCTCTTTTCATTCTGAATTCTGCTATTCTACTTAAAGTTATGCTTGCTCACATTTCCATCCCACTGCTTTTGTGGAAACTGCTTACAAGTTAAATATGCCTAGAACTGCAACCTACTGCCTACTAAAATTTAAGGAAAAATCAATGTCAGATTGCAATAAATATTTGAGATTCACAGTCAGTTAATGAAAGAATTTAATGTCTAAATGGAATGGGATCATGATAATCATAGAACCTAGGAATCTTCTGCATGTTAGTGCAACAGATAAAGCAGTTTGCAACTTACTTTATCCAAAGTCATGTCTGGGAGTTCATCTGCAAGTTCACTTGGGGAACTATCTGCGCTGGAACTTGCTATAACAGGAATTGTAGGTTCATAGCCATAGAATGCCAGTAAGTCTTCTAATGGCATACTTCCTTCCTGAGTTTTTTTTTTAAATAAAGAGAAAATAAATTACCATTTGTAGAAGACCATATGGTTTTGCACATGTATTGAGGAACAAAATAGTCTAAATAATTAAAGAGAAATGATGCTATGAGTAAAGATATATATTAATACTTATTCATTGTTTATTGAAACTGATAATCCCCTTAACAATTTGAACTGTTAGTTTATAATCTAGTCTGCAAGTTTAAAATTGAAATATAAAGCAAGCATTCTCTTAACAAAGAAAACAATGAACACAGTGCCACAAAGCAACCAACGTTTCATTACATGCAAATGATATATATTATAATAATCACATTTGTCTTTGGAATTAATACAGGTAGTCCTTGCTTAACAACCACAACTGGGACCAGAATCTTGATCGTTGAGCGCTCAACGACCACAACTGAGCATTCCTAGTTATGGTCATTAAGCAATCTGTCAGATCATTAAGCAGACAGAGTGAAAGAGCTGCCTGCTGAAGGATTTCAGTTCCGCATGGAGCTGAAATCCTCCCGACATGCAGCTGTTTGAGAGTTAAAGGGCTGCCTGCTGGATGGTTTCAGCTCCGTGCAGGGCTGAAATCATCCCAACAGGCAGCCCTTTCGCTTTCAAATATTTCTGCAGCCCGCCAAAGGGTTTCCCCTCCCTCCATGCACGGAGGGAAAATCCTTTGGCGGGCTGAAGGAATGGAGCTCAAATCCTGAAGATTTCAGTTCTGTTCCTGCAGCCTGCAGAAGGATTTCAGCTCCCCTCTGTCCCCTCCACTTGCAACCTTCCCTGCCGGTTTCCCCATTGACTTTCTGGGGAAGCTGGCAGAGAAGACTGCAAATGGCGATCACATGATCGCGGGGTGCTTGGCAACTGGTAGTAAATGCAAGCTGGTTGCCAAGTGCCCAAAATGTGGTCACATGAGTGGGGGGGCGATATTTCATGACAGCCAGAACTGCTTTACAGGCCATAAAGCAACCTTTCCGAGGCCGTCATAACTTTGAACAGTGGTTAAACAACTGGTCGTAAGTCGAGGACTACCTGTACTTCATTCCAGAAAGCAATTGTACTAACATAGCTTACCCTCATTTATACTGTAATGTAAATAAGCTTTCCAGTTGTTCTTTAAATAGCTGTTCCCAGAAATTATTTATTGGTCTGATTTATATCACTGTAGCAGTATGAACAGTTTCCTCAAAACTTCTAAAATGCACCATTCTTAAACAATATTTAAGAACAAATCTCTAGATGCATTCTCTCTGAAAAAAAGTCTTACCTTTTCTAAGTCTTCAATCTCAGAACTGAAATTTTTGCCTTCATCCATCATTTCCTCCTCTTCAAGAGTTCTTTCATCATCATAATCATGTACCAACATTTCAGCTGTAGGATCAAAGTCATGATCCTCAGAAGACAAAGAGCCAACTAAAAAAGACAACGTGAATCTCTTTAGCAAATGGTACCAATATCTTAAATGTTATATTACCAAAATTCAAGATTAAATGCTCCAAATAAGCATGTATCAACCATGGCATGAATTTTAAGCACAGCTGTATATTCTGCAGAGTAAATCAAAAAGGATATTAGATTAATGCTTCTTATTCTAAAACAATTCTATTGGAGTAGTGAAGGGACTTCCCTGGAGCAGAAGTTCAGCTTACATAACAGAATGACTTTATTACAGCCTTTATCGAAAGTACTAAAATTGAAATAACCATTAAAATTGAAAAAACCATATTTGCACTTATACTAGCATAAGCTACACCAATCCTAACTCCATTGTAGCTATACAATGTAGCTATGAAATTTTCCTAGCTACTGGATTTTGATTCCATGAACTATTGAATATGTTCAAACCAGTATAAATACATAGTTTATATGTGGAAGCTCAAAAGAACCTGGATCAGGAAAATAGCATTATCTTCTAAATGTTAAAAAATAGCCAACTTATCTGAAGAGATATTCAAATTCTAAAGCTAATAAATTTTGGAAGGAGAGCTAAAGCTACCTAAAAAAGATAGAACTGGTTTTCACAACTCACTGTGTTTATAGAACTAGCCCAATACAAAACACTACCTTTTTAGACCCTGAAGCACTAGGAATTCTGGAAGATTTTGCTCCAATGGCTTGAGGCCACCCTTTTGGGTGTTGTTTTAACATTGTTGTTTTGCAGGTTTTAGGGAAACATATTTTGATGATGAATGGCCATTTTTAAATCATGCATATAAGCAAGTGGGTGGGTTTGACAAAGACAAGCAAAGAAGGATCTGGTTTATACTTGGATGGGAGACCACCAAGAAAGCTCAAGGCTGTAAGCTAGACAGGAAGGTTAAAAAATTGTCAGGTAAGAAGGCAATGGCTACCCAATTCCATCCTGTTGCCAAGAGTGTGGCATGGATGGGCCCTTGTAACCACTAGGAGTCAAGCTTGGTTTTTGATAAGCTGGAAGTAAACAGAATTCCTTCAAATTGTACATTTCCGATTAAATGCAAAGTACCTGCATTGGGACATAAAAGATATCTCAAGTAATCTCCAATTTACCTGCAACTATTGAAATTAACCATGTCTAAACAAGCTATAATTTTCAATAATGTACACAAAATATAAAACAGCTTATTTTTTTAAAGAACTTTCCTTCTTTGAAAATGACTATGTATGGCGCTAAAAAGAGTCTTGTTTATTCAAATTAACAAAAATGTGTTCAGTCATGATAGAAATATTTAGAACAAGTATGTGACATTTAATAATCAAATTTCAAGAGTTTAAAATGTGTAGGACAGATTCTAGCCAAATTTAAGCATTATAAAGTGCCTTTAGTCTTGGCGGAAAACATATAAAATTGATACAATCAATAATGCTTAATTTTGGTTGATTTTGCTCATTATTTTTTTTAAATTAAACTAATCTAAGAATGAAGATTAATCTTAAAAGAAGTTTATACTTCTTTTGTAACTGTAAGATAGAAATTCTTAAATAACTATATATTCGGATCATGATTATAAAGCTAATACAATCCTATGCATGTCCTTATCAGAGTAAGCCATAATGATTTTAATGGAGCTTACTCCCAAGAAAGTATACAGAATATTACAGTTGTACAAGTGAATCTTAAAGAGAGGGGAGTGAACTGGGGTATCACGTGCCACTTCCTCATCCTGCTAGATGGATGATAGCAAGGCCACCCTCAGGCAGATGTAGCAGATTGGTCTGATCTATGGGCCGTTTGGGGAAATAAAAATGCTTTGGATTCAGGGAATCCAAGATTGATTTATACAAATGGCCAACATGTCTATGGAACACAGCAGCAGATCTATCACATTGTTTTCTGTAGGCATACCAAGGGCTGTGCTTACTGTCGTGAGCCATCTTGGGGACCTTATCAGTCCAATCAGGTGGATTTACTTCTGAAAAACATGGTGATCAAGTTAAAAAAACTGGAATTTTCAACTCATTTCCCATAAAGAAAGTCCTACTGAACTTTAGTGAACTTATTTCCAAGTAAACACACTTAGTATCATGCTTAGCAAGTGGAGGGAATCTTACCCATCCAAACTTGCTCCAGGCATCAGATTTCTAGTGTAGCACTGCATTGTAATTACATTAATGTTTTTAACATTTCTTCTGAAAAATGTATTTGAAGTACTTTTGAAATTGTTTTATATTTATATATTACATCACTAAAGATGTATATTTAAAGAAGAATACCTTAACTGATAGCATAGTCCTACCCTTGTCTACTCAGAATTCATCCTGAATTCAAAGGGGCTTATTCCAAGATTACACCCAAAAAACTAATTCAAATTAATTAACATTTCAAAATATAATGTACTTTTTATCAAGTAGATCAAAGACATGTTATAAGGTTGTTCATACATTTATATGTTGTATGTAAAATATCTGATCTGAACATTTTTAATTTTGATTTTATTATAAGACAAATGCATTATGCTTTAATTTCATTGACAAAAGTAATTCTGCTTCTATTTCCACTCATGAAATTACATTTCTATTTAGTTCATTAATATTCCATAAAGAAAGCAACCAAGATTGTTGTTGAAAGCTAAAGAAGCATTAAGATTAAGGATACATGCTTCACAATGCAATGGGACTTTGTATAGAATATGTATAGGAATACACACAGCCTACTCTAGCCATGGACGGTTGGGTCCCAATTAATGTCAATGAAACTTACTCCCAAATATGTTTACATTTGCTTTTATTTTCCTTTGAAGGAACAGCATCCACCAGCAGAGCATCCCACTATCCCTGCAACCCTGTTCCCCAAATCTACTCCAAAGAGTTGACAGAACTTCTGGAAGAGGTTTGGGGAGGTATTTGGGGTTGAAGGATAAAGAAAAGATGGCAAAGTTCCACTGAGTGAACAGAAAGTTGCTAATGCAAATGAGGATCTCATTCCCTACTTCATTATTTTTATTTGTATAAATAAAAGAGTGCATTGTTATAGGGCCTACAGGCCACATTAACAACCTTATAGTAACTCCAATTTGCTACTGAAAAGCATGGTAATCAAGACTGCAATTTTAATTCACATTTCATAAATACAAAGTAATGCAAATGGATTACTTCCAAGTAAGCATACTTCGTATCATGCTTAGTAAAGAAGCAAAGGGTCTGCAGATTGCTGAAGCAGCAGACAATTTTATTCAACAATGTTTTAAATTGAACCCTCTTGCATATTCAAGAAATATTATTTAGAAAATCAAACATCCAGAACAATTTGAAACTGACCACAAGAGTTTCTACAGGGGAGAATGTCTCTGCAAAGAGCTTCATACTTTCAATAAGAACCAAGCAAGTGATTTTAGGATAAAAAACTGAGCATAAACAACAGATGATGAAGGAGGAAGTAATCATTGTAACATATTAAAGAGAACACATAAAACATCTTTGATAGATGTGCCTGTACCCTGGCCCTTAACCGTACCCAAAAGCTTCCCACTGCCGGAATCACAGAAGAAGGAACTGAACAGGACAAACCTGGGCTCGAACTCCCAAAGGAAGCCTGGAACAAGCAATGGGAGAGGGGGGAAAAAAACCAGGTTACAAACAGGCTGGCCAGAGAGACTTGGAAAAAGAGGACTTATAAAAGGAACCTGTTAAAGAACCCCTCCTAATTATTCAATCTGTCTTTCTCTTACACACACACACTTCCCACCTTTTTTCCCTTTCTTCCCTCTAACTTCTTTCTTCCCTCTTCTTCGGCTCTCAGCATCCCTCCATCGCCTTCCCCACCCCACCCCCCCCATCGCTGCTCCGGTCCCTCTTCTCGCCTCGCCTTCCCTCCGCACTCCGCGCCCCGAGTTGCCTCTCTCCCTCCAACCTTCGCCTTCTTCGGCTCCTCCGCCCCGTCCCCGACGCGAGACCCGGGCCTTGACACCAGTCCCATCCCGGCCGGGCCCGCCCGAGAGGTGACAGGGGCAGCTTAAGAAGGAGCGACCAAAAGATCCGGACTGCCCGTCGGAGAATCTCACCGCTCCGCCGCCTCCTTCGCCTCCCTCCACATCTCAGCCCAGCCAGCCCGTCTCCATCCCAATTCCGACCCCCGCGGAACCGGAGAAAGGAGACCGCTCCGCTCCCGGCCCCGGGACTGTGGGTGGAGACCGGCAGAGCGCTCAGCAGACAGCTAGAGGCAGACGGACCGACGGACGGACGGAGGCAGCCGCGGCCTAGTCGCGCAGGCTACGCTTCCCCGCTGCAAGTGGCTCGAGGGGACCCCAGCCGCCCTCCGTGGCCCGCTTACTGGGGCTCCGACCATCGGGAGGGAATTATG